TATAAATAAGCAATACAAACCCTCAGCATATAAAGTATTCTTTGTACTTTTGACTTCTTTCAGGTTAATGGACAGTGGAAAAGCCACAGTGCTGGAGGATGTGGAAACTTCAGAGACACCTACAAAAATAACCCCATTTATCAATTCCAGCTGGACAAGAATGGACCATTACTAATTGAACTACGGGGACCAAGGTTAGTAGACATTAAGCATCAACACAGTGAGAGTATCACAAGCTTTGTCAGTATCTTCTGCAGGGAGGGTAGGAAGCTCCCTGAAAATCCTGAAACAAGGTATAGGAGGTAGCTCAGCTTTTGTACTGCTTTTGTTCCTGACTTCACCATCAGTACTTCTAAATGTGTTTTAAACGTGCACGTTTGCTACTGAGGAAGTCCTTGACCTACAAGGAAAGCAGGAGCCTTCTTTCTCCTCAGTTTTGGGGTCTGAGCAGAGCTAGGCCTTGCATGAAGGGAAGAAGGTGCAAAGGACTTTTTCTTCCTCTTTAATTATGATCATAATTCCTTTAGCAGTAGAGCTAATAAGCGAGATGCTAAACCCTTACAGGCTCTCAATCAGTTGCAATTCTGAAAGTGCATTTACTCTACCACTAGCAAGCCAGAAGTATCAGATGTCAGTGCTCTATAGTCTAGACCTAGACAGGTCAAATTCCTTTGGCAAAATCAATGATCTACTTCAAACCACCAGTATACAGTGCTTCCAAATAGTATAATCTCCTGACAGGCAGTCAACTGTTTTATCTTTTGCAAAGCTGTGCAGTGCCTCCACCAAATGGCAGTGGTTTTCTGTCCATCCTCCCCTCTTTGAGGAAGCTTTTGTCATGAAATGGAGTGCCAAAGTGTGTGGCTATACAGTTCCACTAATCAAGCAGGTTCTGTATGTATTTTGTCCTGCATTTGTAGCATATATGGGTAGTCTGAATGACGAGGCAGTGGCGCCTGTCACGGGCATGAACAGGTAGTAGACAAGCTGTCCTAAGTTAGAGTACAACATGAAGAACCCTGCTGAGGTCACTGACATTCATTCCTCTGACAGCGATCAGATCACATCCCAGGATCTGCACCATGTGGCAAGGGATTGAGTGACCAGAAGTTTAACTAGTTGAAGTCTGCTTAAATGTGGAGGCAGCCTTCTAGCAGGCATTTTCCCCGTACTGTGCTTCTGAACCTGAAATGTGTCCTGTTTTCCTCCAAATTCTACTTTCATGTCATGGCAAGTTTGACTTAACATTGCTGTCACAAATGTGACAATACTTTCTGATGTCTTCCAGTCATGTTGTCTAGTTTTTAATAAACAGCCCTCTTCATGGTGATGCTGATGACCCAAATAACCATAGTAACAGTCTGTCATGTTGCTTGCAGGCAATACAGCGTTGGTTTTGAAATCATCACAGTCTCAACAGTAGGAGAACCTGGTTCCTATGGCTTTCAGAAAAAGAGCAGTGGTGACTACAGGTAATGCTCACTTAATGAAGTCTTAAGAGGTCTGAAACATACTTCAGATTTTAGTTCTAACAGGTAGTTTCTTTTGTCATAGGTGTGGATTTTGCTACTTGGAATTGGAGAACATAGTTGCTGGAGTTTACAACATTATCCCTACCACATTCCTGCCTCAACAAGAGGGTCCTTTCTTCTTAGACTTTAACAGTGCTACTCCTCTTAAGGTATCACAGCTGCAGTGAGGAGACAGATCTATACATTCCTGTTTCAGGATGTGGTTTTGATCTGTCCCACTGTCTGAGAACAGGTGAATAACTCTTACTACACATACACAGAAAATAAAACCATTCTAAAGTTATAGCCAAAAGCATGGAATTGCTGGTTTGCCAGTTTAACTGTTGCAGACAACTGTGGGATTTGCTGCTATGGTACTGGAGCAAGCGCTGCTCAACAGGCTAAGTGATTATAGGCAAATGGCAGACTCCATTTATTGCAGTTTTTTCACACTTCAGAGTCTAGTGAGTTAAGGGAAAAAAAACCCTCACAGTGATATCCTCTTTTCCCAAACTACAAGGTATATGGGCTTAAGATTTTATTGTTAAAAGTAAATATGTAAGAAAAAGAATGTTCTTTGCCATTCAGGTTGGTTTGGTGATTTTCTAAGCAAAAAGGCAGCATTTAAATCTCAGAGCACAGGTGCCACTTGGTCATTGGGAAACTAAGAACGCATGCTACGGGAGCACCAGAAAGATGTGTGCTAAAATCATTCCCTGGGAAGTCTGCTATTAGCCCTCTCCAGCACATACAAGATCCTTTTGTTTCATTTCCTTCATAAGGTAGCTGTTTAACAAGTGTCTGTCTTGACAAGGGCACTGAAAACACAAGCCTTGGAAAACACACTGCCCTTCTGACTGCAGTTCTTGCAGACACCATCTGGGCTAGGGAATTTGTGACAGGTTTGTCACAGTGTGACTTGACTTACCTTCTTTTGCAAGGAAGTTTCTGATGATTGAGCAAATTAACAGAGGGCACAGCAGAGGCACAAGCTGAGCATAAACCACATTAGGTTCTTTGTGGTTATCCTTGGCTTGTGGAGTACACACCAAGAATGGCTTCATCCTGACAAGACTAATTCCGATCTCATTTTCCCTACAACTTTGTGCTGTTTTTAGCTGAGGTTAAACCAGAGTGGCAGTGGAGTCCTGCATGTATTTCTCACCTGTGAACATAGTTAGGAAGTCTCAACTAAGACTGTGTTTGACAAGACAAAAGGTTTTGCCAGAACTGCTTGCTTTCATTACTGTGTTCTTGCACATCCTTTGCTGTTTGAGATCAGGCTGGTAGATTTGCCTGCTCTGCAGGAAAGGGTTTTTCTTTCCTCTCTTGAGCACAACCTAGTGCCAAACCTTAAGCTGGATCAGATGAGTGCAAGGCTCAGTTTTCATTATGTGCTAAAGTAAAAGCAAGGAATGTACTCACTTTCTTAAGGACAAAGGCTCCTGTCCCCACCAGGATCCACTGACATTTCTTGCACATGCAGGACAGGCACTGGATTGTGCATATCCCCATAAGCACACAAGGGTTTAAGGTTAGTATCACTGTCCATTACAGTGCAAGACTTACTCAGATATTGCACCTACAAGAACAGTGTTAGTTTCTCCCCTTCAGATATAGGATGGAATACTCAGGTGGAATATTGAAAAGTAAATACATCATATTCTTATAAATTTTACTATACAGATTCTGCTTGTGGCAAATTACTTTTATAATAAAATTTTCTTACCCTTTCTTCGTAGAGAAAAAGAAGTTCATGTCAGCACTTATGATTTGCTTTGATATTTTTTGTCAAATATATAATTTTATATTATTTCCACAAACAAAGCAGGAAAAATTATGGGAAAGTGAACTGATCCTTAGATTTTTAACACAGCATCTAGGTTAAGCTTTTCTTGATACCCCCTTACCATTTTTGATCCATGTGACAGAGGCTACAAGGTGCTGATGCAAGCATGGAAATGTTATGCAGCAAGGCATTTACATAGCTGCCCAACAGCTCAGCCTGTATCAAAAGTACACCAGTCATGTTACTTCCAGGTTCACAGCCAGGCACCTCTTGCCCCTTAAGTCTTTTCTGCCTGTAAACCTCCAGTTCAGGCCTTTAAACATTCAAATACAAAGCCTCATAAAACACACCAAAAAACATGCTGCTCTCCCAAGCTGTTTATCACATGCTGCGCAGTTGTGATTACTGCCTGAGCAACACAATGAGGGATATGATGGACAAAATGAAAGCCAGTTACTCTAAGGGGCTTTAAAAGGATTTGGATTTTGATTTACTAAGTACTAAGGGAAGACTACTGCAAAGGAATGACTTTCAGTTCTCTGTCAGCAGTGCAGAGGGGTAGCTGGAGATAGATAGCCTCTGCACGAGCTCCAACATTCTCCTCAGACTCTGCAAAGCCTTGTTTGTAGAGTTTTGGATTAAATGCTGCTCTTACAGCTCAGGATGAGCCAGCTTCACAGACACACCTCCCCAGTTAATACAGGTTAGTACTTGGTTACTCCAATCTATCAGTTCTCAAGGAAGTACCCGTGGATGAACGGTATCAACATGCAGGTTTCATGTAACTACTTTGTACAATGATTAGGCACTTGACCATACAACCTATGCCAAGTGTGACCAACAACTAATTAGAATAGTCTGTGTACTTACAGTAGCAGTCTTCATGACTTAGTCAAAAAGGACATTTACATTGTTTGATTAATACCAAAGAAGTTAAATTCCTAAGTTAACTTTTGCTCTATACATTCTCACTTCAGCTGAAGTGATCACATGTACTTTGATACACCAAAGGCTTATTTTTATACCCTTGAAGGCAGCTACCATCGTATCGCACTTCAGAACACACAACTTGCTCCAGCAGACAACAGCGTAACTACAAAAGTTTAAGTAAAAGTATGTAATACAACGTGCCACTTCTGTATGGCTTTGCATTTTGTATTTGGTACTGTCAGTCCCAGCTTTTCCCCACGTAATGGTCAGATCAGAACTGGAACCATGGACTTCTTTCCTAAGCAGTGACTGGGCTGGGAAATGCTAGCAAGGGAAGGATTCAGCCTTCAGGGATGCAGAAGATGTAAATGTATGAATAATTAAAGCTATTAAAGCTTAACAGCTGTAATGTGTTGAATCTCATTTTAATGAAAAGGGTTTCTGTACCTCCAGCTCAGCACGGCCTTACAGGAAACAGCAGCAGTGCTAAGCACAGAGGTGTTTCCTATGTATTGGAATGTCTCCTGCTCTCCTGCACACTACAGGGTTTTGGATAACCTGACTAAAGCTCTGGTCTTGTGCAGCTTAGAATAAAAAGCACATCAGGTTTGCAGGGGTTCAGGTGTTGTCTATGTACTGCAAAGGGTTCTAATAGCAGAGTGACACCTGGCTGCAGCAGGAGTGGGTATTCAAAGACTAAACATGCTGCAGGAGAAAATCCGGTTCTTGGCGCTTGAGATGAGATAGATTTGGCTTGCACGGAGTCGGAATGTGGAAAACAAAAGTGTTTACTGTAGTGTGAAGAATCTTACATTAACTTAGAGATACACAAGCTGTGGCAGGGACGAAATACAGCAGGACTGCAAAAACAGAATAGAAAATACTTCGGGCAATACTAAAATTCCCATCAAATTAATGATAGAAACGGATGGTTTAGATAAAATGGTGCTTTCAGAAATGCTTAGCTACCAAAACTGAAGAGTCCTAGGATTTTTTACTACCACTTATTAGCATAATTACCAGACACTACTACTGCCTAACAGCTGCTGGCAAAACACACCCTTGCCCTTTTTAGTTTTATTGAACAGTTTCTCTAGGGCATACTAAAATCCCAAGTCCCTTAACAGTTAAAAAACCCCACACGGTACAACCTACAGAGAAGCTTAAGAACACATTGTCAATCCACACTGGCAATTCCTTGTCTTCATGCATATTCCAAGGGTGAATCCCTTACCAAAACTGTCCCAAAAACATCTACAACTCCCATTTTGGAGGAAGAAGAACCCCAAAACACTTAAAGTGCTGAAAAATAATACTTCACTTCTCAGGGGAGGGAAAGGGCAAGGAGCCAACCAATTCTTTTTGGTCACTGGAATCACCCTTGGAGTCCAAGCCAGACTTGGGAAGAAGGTCTGAAAGGCCCTACCATCGCTGAGTGTTACCATCATCTGCCTGTCTCAGCACCAGCTTTTATCGACGTGACTCATCTTCATCCCTTCTGTGAGCACCAAGGGAAAAGTGAAGGCTTTTAGACCCTGCACATGCAACAGCTCTCCTGTATACAAAATATTTCTACAGTTTCAGCATAATACAGACAAATACAGATATTTAAAGAATATACCACTTAAAAGATCCACCATATCTAAAGAGCATTTTGTTCTACAAAACTGAAGCCAAACTGCTCTCTGCAAAAGTCTGGCTTGAATTTCAGACCCGCCTACTGGCATTGAGTTTCCACGGGAACATTACTAGTTATTGCTTCAGCCGGCTGCTACAAAACAAGTTACAAAGTCTGTGAAACAGGAGTACAGCTTAAACAGTTGGTAACGCACCCGGCCTACAAAGGGTTTACTGAATAAAAAAACCTCAGCCCTCCACATCAATTAGACTTAGTGCAGTTTTAAATCCTCAGAGTAAACGCTTCAGATTTGGCATATATTATTGGCACAATGTTCTTCAAACACTTAGGAGTTCATATATAAATATCTATACTCCCATTAATCAGGGCACAAAGAGGACTCAGCCAATCTGGGCAGCTTTTCTGCCTGAGCATATTCCCTCTTTGATTTTCATGCACTGAAGGGAGAGCTGCTTCATTCGGTTATCCAGAGCCAGCCCTTCAGTGGAGCTGCTCCTGTTGCTGCTCCTGTTCTTGTTCGCTCTGTCGCTTGTCTTGTTCTCAGCCCCTTCTGCCCTATCCCCTGCAAAGAAAGGAGAGAAAAAAAAACACCCAAAACTCAGGTTTTCCTTAAAGGTCCCATCAGAATCTCATTGATGACATATTTTGTGAGATACCTCAAACCCCTCCACCAAGACAGAACTGGGGAAGCTTCCCAGCCAAGAGAAGCATCAGTACAACACTTTAGATACCACTGTTAACTGCGGGATGCAGGGCTTTCAGGCCCTGCCTTCCCCAAGGAAGGAGCCAGCTGGTCAGAGCTCAGTGAGCTGGCAATATGCCTAGGGGAGCTGAGGTTTTCCTCCCTCATAAAGCTGAAAAGCATTGGCCCAGAGCCTATCCAGCTGTGCATACCTCTGTCAGCTTCGCACTCAGGGGAAGATGCTCCACTGCATTCACTTCGGGGGCCGAGGACAGGAAAGATCATCCCGAACTCAGAAAGGGATACAGGGCTGGGCAGATCCAGGCTTCCAGGTCGCATTGCAGGAGGAAACTGAGTGGGCACCTCGCAGGGACTCGTAGGACCAGAGCTGAAGCTGGACACGGACTGAGTTTCTGAATCTTCTTCAGATACGAAGCTGCTGCCATTGTCATCCTCAAACACTTCTGAAGCCACTGCAATGTTCAAAGAGTATTCCAGTGAGCAAACCTACCTCCCTCCTGCACCTTCCCAGGCAAAGGCACCTGTGCCCAGGTTTGCATCCTCTGTACACGTGTGCACTGCTAACCCACTGGCTGCCTCTTCTTGCACACTGTCCCCTGGCATTTCACACACTGATCACAAAGGCCTGACTGTGCTTCAGGGAACAGCACACCCACCAGCCATGCCATGCCATGCCATGCCAAACCAGCTCTATGGTACCTACTGCTCCTCATGCCAAGATGCTCCTGGACTGTTGCTGCCCTTGCTGCCCCCAGCTCAACTGGCCTTGTTCACTTCTGGTCTTCAGTATGTAACTTAGGCCAGGGCCAGGTCCCCTGTGCCCACCTCAGCCAGGACCACCTTGATCCCAGCACAGACCCCTGTTTCTTTAAGGCTCTGGTTCAGAAGACGTAGCTCCAGGGGCAGATTGCTTCCATTTTACCTTCCCACTTCTGCAGTTAAAATGCAGCCTGAACTCCCAAGATCTCTTCTCGGATGAGAATCACCAAGCAACACTGCATTAAAAACAGCCCCACCCACAGATACCATTTTCCCTGCTCCTGTTTGCTCAGATCTGAATTCTAATTAAAGCAAACCAACCCCAAACTGTCTGGCTACAGTAAGCTGCAGGGTCTTTGTTAGAAACAGGAGGAGGAATCCATTGAGGGAGGTTCTAGTTTGTGCAACGTAATAGTGTTGATTTTGCTAAAATTGGACATTTTCAAGCTTGGCTCATTGTGGGATGGGGACCTATGAACCAGAGCCTGCACACAATATTCCCACTGAGATCCAAAGGGGGTTTTGCATGCATCAGCCTCTCCACAACAAACACATGTGCTGGAATCACACTGGTCTGAAGAAGTCCCATGAACAGCAAGAGGTTTACAGTGACCTGAGGTTATCTGCAGCTACGCCTCCCTGTGAGCCCTGCCATTGTTAGGCTCAGAACCACCCGCAAAGAGCAGCAGGAGCAGAACAGCAGCGTTCATGAAATGGCTCAAGGGAGAAGTTCCAGACTCATTCTTCTGCCTTGCCAGGGCTCACGGGCACCTCTGACACTGAGGGTACCAACAGACGTGTCCGATTACATGGGTCCTCTACTTGGCAAGCAGCACTGACATCAGCCCATCTACAAGCAGCACAACTTAAACCGTAGCGTACTTGTCACCATCGACACTCAGGAGCACCTGCTAGGGCCAAGACCTTGCTGCTGCTAAGGTGGTTTATTTATTCACCTCCAGCAGACAGAAATCAAAACATGAGAGGGCCTTGGTGGACCCCCCCACACCACATTCCAATGCATGAGAGCTCAACCTGTTATTTTGGTTACTATGGCAGGCTGTTAGCCCTTGCCCCATCATAACTGTGCTGGCACTAGACACAACCTGGAGTCCTTCCACCTCTGCCAAGCTGTGCAATTCAAAGATAGAGATGAGCCTGCACCCCCAAACACCTTTCAGCACAAGAAAACCCTCAGCTCAGTTATACCTAAGGCTCCTGGGAGGCCTTTGGTGCAAGCTGGGGGGGTCTGTGGGTATCCAAAGAGGCAACCCCTTTGACTCGGAAAGGCTCAGCCATGGGACTTCAGGGTGGCAGAAACTAATGCAGCCATACCAAAACCTCACTGCATCAGCTGGCCCAGACACTGCACTCCTTGCTGTGGCAACCCTGGTCCCAGCTGTGCAGCACTGAGTGAGCTCTATTGTACATCACATGAAAGCTCCTGCCACTGCAAAAGAAGGAGGCCTGCCCAGGGCTGCCTCGCAGCTCCCATGGCACAGATGAGCTGTACCATGGACCTACAGGGCCTCAGCACTGAACGCATCAGTGTCTATGAGAGAACTGCACATTCAGCCTGTGTAGTTACAAATTCCTGCAATCCTGACCTCCTTTTCCCTGCAGAGCGAGTGGCTGCGTGGTACGGAGCTACCAGCTGGGTTTAAACCATGACAGTTACCTAGGACTGGAGCTCATTCAGTGATGGCTGCTGTTACCCAAGAGAAACGTCTCTCCTACAGAGCCTCTCAGTGCACTGCATTAGCATACTGCTGCTTCTTCACTTCCCTTGTTCACAGCACACATGTTCTGCCAAAATCACACATTGGCCAAAGATCCTGCAGTGCGAAGGAGCTTATCCTTACACCCCTCCTGGGTGAGCATCATGCCTCCCTGCACTACTGTAGTGCAACTTCAGTCCCCCTGCCACAGGTCCAACACTGCAAGACAAGCACTTGATCCAAGAGGTCTCTTTCCAACCAGTCTGCTGCCTCGACAGCCTGGCTGAATGATCTGCCACCTCCTGTGACTGCTCTGGGCAAGTCACCAACAGCAGCAGCACAGGCTTAAAGGTTCAAAGTATGCTTTGAAGCACATCAGTTTTGGTTTTTTCACAACAGCCCTGTACAAAACCCAGCAGTGATGCTAAAGGAGCAGCTGATGTGCTTCAACTCCTATCATTTCCCTTTGAAAACTGGTTATTAAGGAACACAATCAACTGCAACAGTCACAACAGCCAGCAAATGTCAAACTGCAGAATACACAGAGCAATCACTTGCTCATATCCTCAGTGTCTTATTTTATGATGCTGATGGGCTATTTCCAGGCACAGGACTGCTCTGTACTCACCAGAGATGGTGTCTGACTCCGGTTTACTTGCTGACAGGTCTTCCACAGAGGTATTGCTCCCTTCAGCACCCACGCCACATCCTCGGGGCCCCATGGCAGTGGAGCGTCTCCTCTCGTGAATCTCATCTGAGATCATCTCCAGGTTTTTCAAGGCTGTTTTATACTCTCCCTTTGCCAGGGCCAGTTTTGCCTGCAGATCATCCACCGTTTTCTTCAGTTGCTAACAAGGAGGACAGGTATTAGATGTGATTCCATTACAAATGACACGCATGCAGTCCTCGGTTATGTGTCTGTAGAACTTGGCTCTGCTCAGGCAAGCTAGCATAAACCATGGTTGGTATCTAGGTGATGGAGAGTGGCTGAGCACACAGCAGGGTCCCCTGCTGACATGCAGCTTTCGCTGCTGCTTATCTCCCAACCCTCAGGGCACAGCATGGCTGTGGGTCATCCCTGAAGGGGCTCAGGTTCACCCTCCTCTGAGCACCAAACCCACCCCTTCTTGGTTACTGAAGACTGGAAAGCAGCAAGCCTCAAACCCTACAGCAGTTTCCACATCTTCAGGCACAAACTCCATTCTACAGTAAGGGCAAAAGTGTTGTACCCCCTGTCTCCCAAAGGTAAAACACTGCTTATGTATCTGCAGCGGTCTTAACTCTGGTTTATATTGTACATTAAAAGCAGCTTGTGCTGTGTTTTGTATTGTATTTTACACAACCACCCTCTTCAGGAGGGCACGGAGCAGCTGTCACAGCAAGGAGGAGGCCCCCAAACAGCAGCAGGCCTTTGCCCATGGGGAAAAGGGCACTTCTTAGAAGATGCCTCTTGCCAGAAGGGATTATCAGGCTGGTACCCAGCCCAGGATGGGCAGGATTCAGCTCTGACCATAGCTATGCAGGCAAGCAAGATGGAGGAGCAGGGGGCAGCCCAAGGCTAAATCCTGGCAAGGAAGAGGTGTGCACCAGAGTCTCTACAGTTTATGGACAGAGCTGCTGCATCTCAAACCAAAGGGCTCACAAGACATGTGTGGGACATACCCTGCATCCCATGGAAGGAATGGGAATCTTTAGCTAGGCTCCAACTGAGCCTTCTTGCACCCATGGCCAACAGTGCAAGGCATCGTGTTCCTCTCAGACCCTGTGCACATCCCACACACCTACAGCACCAGCCACTACACTGCAACTCAGAGCAGCCAGGCTCCCTGTGTCGGGGGGCCACGTGCAGCGTAAGTCACTCAAATAGAGAGCGATTCTCATGAACTGACCCAAGCAGTGACAGAAAAGAGCACCTCAAGCACAGTTAAACAGCCGGATGCATAAAACACTGGGGAGGAAACACCAAAGACCAAACCAATCCCAGGACTTGGTCCCAAAGCCCAGGACAATCCCCAGACTGTTCAGCTCTGGCAATAAGCAGCAAGGTTCACACACTTATTTCACACAAAGAAACAAAATCTCTCAGTCTTTCATCTTTAAAACATGCTTAGCAAATTGCTCGAGACGTTCTGAACTGAACTGGTTTAGTGCAGAAGCTCAGCACAGTCGTCAGAGCACTTTGGGTGTAACTTCAGTATTTACTGTAAGCAGTAAAGCTTCAGGTAGATCAGAATTACACACCTACCTCTAGCTGGACATAGTACTTCGCCTTGAGTTCAAAGTAAGGTCTGTGGGAAAACAAGGAACAGTTGGTTACAATCACTGGGACTGAATGGAGAGTACTGGAGTGGGAGCTGCTCTCTTGGTAGCATTAAGAGAGCTATTTAGTGTTTTATTGCAATTCCAAGACTACAGAACACAGACGTGTGCTCTCAAGGCCTCTCTTTTCCCCTCTAACATATCTGTTCCTCGAGAGCCTTTTGACCTAAATACAAATTGCAAAGTCCCAGTTTTGAGTTGAGGCCTAGATTCTGCCACTTATCTAAAGGCAACATCCTGCTCCAGGTGTGGCATCCTCTCTGTATCCATCACAGCACATCACTCCACAAAGGGTGAGCCTTAAGCTTCCCCGTGATCAGATCTGGGGGTGGAAGGGAGGTTCTTGGGCTCTTCAGTGAAGAAGCAGGGATGAAGGGAGGTCAGTGCACCACACACGAGGGCACGGCATTTCCCTGCTGCAGCGCAGCAGTCGGACAACTGACCTCTCCAACACCCTGTGTAGTAGGACTTCAAATACACCCACAATGAGCCTGTTCGTGCCATCAGGCATCCTCCACTTTAAAACTAGGTTAGAGCTGGCATTTCTGTACAGCCCTTATTAAAGGATCTCTAGAATACTCTATGCAGGTGGTTTTTGCTGCAGTCAGCCCTGCTGTGAGGCAAAGCAGTGCACTGGGATCCTTCCAGCTCATCCTGAGGAGGATGACACAAGACAACAAACACCCCCATGATGGCAGTTCCAGCAAGGAAACAAAGATTCAGAAAGCAAATCATAAGAGAGGCAGCTGGGGCATCAGGCTCAGCACCATCACTGTGATAAGAAAGCATGCAGGGCCCCAATGGCTACTTAAATGGTCTTTATTTCAAATCTTATTGCAAGGAAATGACTCTTAGCAGCCAAAATACTTGTCAGGTATTGCTCTTACCCAAAGGAACGTGTCATTTAGTGATCTGGTGATGTGTTTCCCAGTCCCTGAGCAGTGCTAGACAAACAGCATGCAGCTCATTCTCATAGCCCATGCTGCTGCGCTGTTCCAACAAACATGCTTGAGTCTGCCTTAGGAAGTGCTAATCCGTTCTTGAATTGAGCAAGCACCAATCAAAATAGGCTTTTAGTTGACCGATTTCCCCCAAAAGTCATTTCTAGATGGAGGGATTAAAAGCTAAATACAGCAAGCAGAGTGTTTAGACAAGCTACAGTCTGGAGATACAAAGGAAATGACTGAAATATAAAGGACTGGTTGTAAATCAGGGCCAAAATTGTAAGCAGGCTCTGAGCAAGAAGCTGTTCCATCAAATGCAGACACATTTATTAATGACACTGCTTAGCTATGCTCTCTGAAATGCATTTCCTTCCCCAAGAAGGGCTCTCGCACAGCTTTGCTATGGCAGCATTAGGGAGTAAACAAGTCTGATGTACAGCACTGACGCAGTCTCGCACCTTTCAGGGCTCTGTCACTTGCTTTGTCGCTCTGCTAACTAAACAGAACTAAACTGCAAACAGTCCTAAGCTGCAAAACATCTACACACAGCTCTGTAGCAGCATCTACATAAATCCCACCAGCCTGTTTCTCGAGACACAGTCCACCAAAGGGCTCAGTGCACCAGAGCAAGACCAAGGATGTGCCCAGAGAAGGTGTCTTACTCCACTTAGTTCACCAGTCTGCCACATCAGGTGCTTCCCAGGACACTTAGAAGGATGACAAACACAAGGAGAAGTGCCGATACCAACTGTGCTGTGAGGCTGTTGCGTGCAAATAGGAGCCCAAAGAAGAGGTACAAAGGGCAACACACTTTGACAGGTTAGAAAAACCCCACAGAAATGGTATTTCCCCAAACAGGTTTCCTCCTTAAACTCATCTCCAAATGTAAAACTTACTTTGATTTATTGATGGCTCTTTTCAGCTTCTTCTCCAGTTGTTTCATCCTTCCCATGGCGGCATTGTATTTGGCTGCAGTCTCCTTGTGAACCAGCTCACTTCTCGTTTTGGTCTGTTCTGCCTCCATGACCTTCAACAGGATAAAAGCCAGATTGAGTGGCAAGACACAACCATCCATTTCTTATCATTTCAATAAACAGCATCTTCATAACCTCTCCAACCAGCTCACGCCAGGAAAGTGAGGGTGTAGAAAACACATACTTTCAATGAACCTACTTAAAAGTCTTTCCTGAAAGGATCAGCAATACACCAGATTTGCAAACACTGTGTTAATTATGACAAAGGTGGTGCAGCTTCTTGCATAACCTCTCTTATGGGAAGATCAGACCAGTCTCAGATTTTGGGATCATCCATTTCTTAACCCAGTCAAGGGAGCAGAGTAGTGCTAGCAGAAGTCCCCCATTGAACAGCATCCTGCTTCTCTCCCGGGAGCCTGCCTTTCCCAGCAGGATGCTCAGCCCCCAGACGCAGTCCCACCACTCGGGGAAGGGCTGAAAACCAAGCACAGCAGTGGGAGGGCTGAATCACCAAGGAAAAGCATGTCTGATCACTGCCTGTTTGCAGAAGGCCAGGAAGGTTTTCCCTCAAAGCATCTGACCAGCCTCAAGTCACTGAAAATGCAGAGGTTCAAGCCCCCAGCGGACACCCCCATAATGCAAACGGGGGAAGATTGCCCACTGTCAGGCAGGCAGATGCTTAATGCAATTCATCTCCTTTAATGCAGGAGCCATCAAGATTTGGACAGGGAGGTAACAGATTTGGTTTAAGTAAGAAAAGTGGTGATGCAATCACAGAATCCCAGCCTGGTTTGGGTTGGAAGGGACCTTAAAGCTCATCAGTTCCAACCCCCTGCCATGGGCAGGGACACCTCACACCAGACCAGGTTGCTCCAAGCCCCTGTGTCCAACCTGGCCTTGAACACTGCCAGGGATGGGGCAGCCACAGCTTCTCTGGGCACCCTGTGCCAGCGCCTCAGCACCCTCACAGGGAAGAGCTTCTGCCTAAGAGCTCATCTCAGTCTCCCCTCTGGCAGGTTAAAGCCATGAGTGCAACCTGTATAGTTTCTTTCATGATGAAAATAAAGAATACTGCCTTGATTATTTTGGATGAGAAAACCAAACCTGAGGCCCCTCTTCAATCTCAAAACATGATGCTATTCTTCCTGACATTTTTATGATCTTCCTAGAATCCACAGGGAGCAACAGATTTGGCCAGTGCATTATGAACACTCATTTCATTCTTGAGTGATGGTTCAGGGGTTGTAGGTTTTGCTGGAGAATGGATTAGAATTTAGTATCATACAGATACAATTGATAAAAGCATGATGAAAGGAGGCCCCACAGGAGCCTTCACCAGCAGACAAAGCGTTTACACAAAAACATGATGCAGGGTAATCAGTATTAAAACAACAAAAAAGATATAAAGTCTCCAAAATGACAGAGAAAAGGACATAAATCAGACAGTCTTGAACATAAGGTGACTTAATGATTGCTATAGGGGTGGAATGTACATCTCCATTGGGTAGGCAATGAGGAGAAAGCAGGCAGTCTTCAGGCTCCATCTCTTGTAGCTATGAAGGCATCCATACAGAAAACAGCAGGACTTGATTTTCACCAGTCCTGCATCTCCAAGTGCCTCAGCTTTGACCACGACTTCAAGCACGTTTTGCCCCAACTGCCTCCCAGCACGAGAACACGCATCTGAGCTCTCAGATCCAGAGAGAGCAGTCAGGATTTCCTCATCTTAGATAACCTCACCTTGACTTGCTTGGAGTGCTGCTCCTCTCAGGAGTTGTCCTGTCGTGTTGTCCTTCCCGATTCCTAACTGAAAGCATCAAACTGCTACACGTTATCAGATTGATAACACGCTCTCCCCTGCATCCCCAAGTGCATCGGCATCAACTAGAAGCTCCTGCTGCCACAACCTGAGGCTGCGTTATGCTCATCTGCACACACCACTTATTAAACAAAGAAGCTGCTACAGGACTATGAGAAAGAAAGGCTTCCAAAGGCGCTTTTGATCAGATATAAAATAATACCCTCATCTCCAACACCCTTCAACAACTATTTCATAAATAAGGCACCAGGGAGGGGAGAGGAAGGAAGACAGAAAGGAATCTGTCAGATTGATAATAGGCTCTCTCCTGCATCCTGAAAACACACTGTAGCTTCTTATCTTGAGCAGCTGTTTGAAAACTGGCTTGATGCAGTGACTTTCCTTAGCGAAATATGTCAGACAAGGCTGGTTTTAGCACAGAAGTGTGTGAAACTGAAACGCCACCTCCAAAGACTGCACAAAAGCACCTTCCTTGTGGTGTGGCAAGGAAACTGCAATTTTAAAGTGCTGGAAGCCACAAAATAATGGAGCAGCTGGAATGTGCCAGTGCTCAGTTAAACGTCAATCCCTCGTATCCATTCCTGGGACAAAACTAACATCAACGGTGATGTGTGGGATGAACCACATCAGTACTGCCAGCATCAGGGTCACAAAGCCAGCTCAGGCATCCAGTATCGTCTTGATTTTGCACACCTTTCATATCAAACATTGCAGAAATGCTGAACCATGCAGAACTGGGATTAGAGGGTAACAGACTGCAAACACCTCGAAGTATCTGACAAAATAAGGCATCTGCTGCCAGCCACATATACCCACGTTCAGCACCCTTTCCAAAACAAAACAAAAGACTGCATACTTCATCCCTCTGAGAAATCAGTGATGCAAGGAAAAACATCTTCTCCCACTCCCTTGTTTTCCTATGGATGTTCTGTCATCACACTCACATTACCCACACAAGTCTGTGCAGAGGCCAGCGACAACCTGTCCCCTTTCCCCCAGGACAGCAGCTCAGGGTGCATGCCTAAGGCTGAGGACAATAGCTGGACAATGATGAGGTATCTGCGGGCATCCATCACCTGCCAAGATGCGGTTCATTCAGACAAGAAACAACAGAAGTACAACCCACCCCTCACAAAAGCCAAAGGCCTTTAAGTAGAGAAGCCGTCCATCAGGGCGGGTGGACAGAACCAGAGAGCAAACCACGCTGCCACCTCTGCACCTGGGAGGCTCATTGGAAGCCCAGCTAGGGAAACCCCTGCCCTATTGAAAAGGTCTTACTTAAAACATGATCCACTCAGCTTGTGTAAGAGAGAAGTACTTTTAATCAGGCCTCATAATTCAGTTGGGGACCTGTAAATAAGCTTTTGGTCGCAGTCACCAAGCAAGCTCTTTTGTCAAATGAAAGTCAGTGTGCTACCACCGACCTTGCCTTGCTGATGCTCCTAAGCCATCACAGATGCAACAGCATCGTTTTGAGAGAAGCAGAGATGTGAGGATGATATCTATTCAAATTAGGATGGCTCAAGACACACCTCTCCTCGTTACACAGTCCTGCCATTCATACCCTTGGGGAGAGCAGGGGACCACTCTGACACAAAAACACCCAAAGCAGGTGAACTTCCAGGATGCCCACACTTTCACCAGACATTCCCGTAGCTCTGTCCTTAATTACTAGATTGAGCTCTGCCTGGAAGAGGTGCTCTCCCAGAGTAGCACAGGCTACAAAAAACCCAACACAGGTATCGATGGATTCCTCTTCTCTCCTCCCTCCCCTCTATTTCCAACCCAGATGTGTCTGGGAAAGGAAGGCTAGTGTAGAGTAGGTATTTTTAGTGAATAAATCTGGACTAGTAGCTTTGTTCCCCCAAAGAGATTTGCATATCTGAACTCAAAGATGGACTCCAGGCAATATTCCAGTAATAATGGATGCAAAAGGAACATGTACCAGTGAAATGAAGCAAAGCTGACCATCTGAGCCAGAGAATTACTCTTGAGAACTGCTGGTTTGGGTTTTTTCCCCTGAAAAATAGAAATTGATGGCTCTTCTAGGGGAAGAATGATAAATAAAAGATGTAAGAAGCAATGCAAGATTAGTAAACCAGGAGGACAGAATCAACAACGCAGGAGACTGCATTTAACCCCTGCATCTCCAGGGTAAAGGGACAGAGAGCTCAGGATAGGGAAGGATGCAGGTATTTTTGTTGTTTCTTTCACAGGCTTTTCTTCCCCCTCTTTTTCTCCCAGTATTGCTCTCTGCAGGAAGTACCTCTTCTCCCTCCACCACGAAAGCACCCACGCACTGTACAGTGACAGATGGTGTAATATCAAAGGGAGCTTCACAAGCCAAATTGAACCAAGAGGGAGCATGCCTCCTCCCTCTTCGCCCTCCCCTCATCCGTTCCTTTTTAACATTGCTCATGATCAAGAGCCAAAACATTTCTTCTCCCTGCCAGAACCGAACATATCTCAGGAAACACTGTAAAAGCAGATTGCATCGGCAATTAGAAATTAGCCATTCCTCTTGAAATCCATAGAGGAGCTTCCTTTCTGCTCCAGCGTGTCTGAAACTTGAGGTAACACATCTGTGAGCACTTCCCTTTTGTACACACGTATGAGTGATTCTCAACATGAATACAAACGTGAAGATCTCTCTCCTTCATCCTTTCTCCATCCTTTGGCCTTTTGATAGGCCTGCCCTCTGCATCCCAACCTGCAGCATTATAACTCAAGATACTCAAAGGTAGGAACACACTTCCCAAAAGCGTTTTCTCCACATTTTAAAGGCAAACTACAGATACCAGCGGCTAACAGTGAACAGTACTTTTCTTCTCCAGGCAGCTTAAGAGCTCATCAAACCTGTCTACATGATGACATTCCCATTATAATCAACAGAGAACTCATCTGACAATGAATTTGCCCCTCTGGTCACGTGAGTTGTTCTCCAGACACCATCAACTTATTGATCAGACCTCCTTTGATTATAATGGAAGTTTAGGCAAGTAACTAGGACATACAAAATCACATCCTAGACACCTGAAGCTGATGCGCTAAATGTCAGCCTATGTGTCATTACACTTACCAGAGATCTGCAGAGAAACGGACACCTAGGGAAAAAGGCACAGGAATATACCCCAAAATACACACCAAGCTAAGAGTAGAAGCAGGTAAAGCAGCTGCCTGACTTGCAGGATCACATCACAGTCCTGTGCTTCACTGTCAACACGTATCTCAAGCGCAGATATTCACATGGCTTAGCTGCATCTTGGCAGGCAGGCCAGCTCCTCCTGCTCCCTATTGCACCCAGCTTCCTTTGGAAACATAGCTCAAGCTACAAGGTGAAAACATTGCTGGGTTCTCACTGTGACCTGTTGGTGCTGGTCCTGTCTGCTCTGCAAATAAAAACACCTTCCCAATGTTCGGCTTCCAGCCCACCTGCGATAAGCAGGATTTCAGTAACTCCCATTTCTCATCAGTTTAAGTATTCTGTATCAGTGGCTACAAAAGCCTTGTTTGCAGTAACCCATTAGGCTGTTGGGTTCAAAACAGTCTTAACAGCCTTTCAGTCTATGAAGAAATCCAAAAGCAATTACAACATACAACCTTTATCTCCATTTCCTCCCAGTGAGGGTTTGCAAACAGCCTTTCCCATTTGATACTCTGGAACCCGAGTCTTTGTCCACATCCATTGGATCAAGTGCAAAAGTAACCTGGCAGTATTTCCATATGTGCCTATATATATATACACATATATATATAAACACACATACATACACACACACACACATATATATATATATAAATTCAGTGTCTGATTTGTTCTCTTGCCTACCCTTTTCCTTTATGCACTCTGCTTGCATTAAGCATAAACCCAAGCTGCTACAAGGCTTGGGTTTTGCTCCAAATTCCAGATGAATTCAAGAGCCTGCAACCTCTGCCTAAGAATAGCAAATAAACCCACTTGACTCTTGCCTCACAATCCTATCAATAGAGAAACAAATCAGTTAGTAGCCCACTTCTAACATTTGGCACAGAAGTGCTTTTCTGCTCTTGATGCATTGCTGTAGAAGGACCAGTGCAAGACTATTCTCTGGGCCTTCTACAGCAGAGAAGATGGGTTTAGCTGTAGTAACATTCTTATTCCCTAGTAGCTGGTGCTGTGTTGTGTTTTCAACTTCAGGCTGACAACAGTGCTGGTAACACACCAAGGTTTTAGTTGTTGCTCAGTAGCACTTAACCCTGTTCAAGCACTTTTCAGTCTCATGCTCTGCCAGTGAGCACAAGAAACTGGGAGGACAGAGACAGGACCCATGACCCAAACTAGGGAAAGGGGTATTCCATACCACAGCAGAGCATGCCCAGTATAGAAAGTGGAGGGAGTCACCTGGGAGGCCCAGATGGCTGCTCAAGTCAGGCTGGGTATCGGTCGGTTGGTGGTGAGCGGTTGTATTGCACATCACTTGTGTTTATTGTTTCCTTTTCATTTTCCCCTTTTAGTTTTATGTTCTCTCCCCTTGTTATTCCCCTTATCATTATTAGCAGCAATAGTACTATGTTGTTCTTTAGTTATTGGGCTTTCTTATCTCATACAGTTCTTTCAATTCTCCTCCCCATCCCTCCTCAGGAGTGAGGAAGCGGAGGGGGGTGTAAGCAAGTGGCTGTGTTACCAGCTGGGTTTAAACCATGACAAACAGGGATCCCAACAAGGGAAAATGGCAGCTGCTGGTGACCTGGCATGCACTCACTGCTAAGGTGGGGCTCCCTTCAGAAACACCTAATGCTAACAGGGGCAGTAACACAAACGATACCCTGGAGGTTGCTTTCTCTTTGTAATATACTCCAGGTTTTCCATCTCTCCCCTACACGCAGCCAGCATCCTTTTTGTTCCCTGTTTCTTCATCAGGCAGCTGGTTTTAGAATTCACTCTGAAATAGAAGCTTTCTTATAACTGAGAAGCTTCTGCAACAAAACAGAGCTACTGCATTGAGAATTGTGAGACAATACAAACACTGTATGGCACACTGGCGTATTTGGAATAGCAAGTTCAACTTCACTGCCATATTAAGGGGAATCTCTGACAGAACAAAGGCTTTTAACTTCAATTTTTGATTCTTTCATGTTAAAAAGAATATTTCTGCCTTTTCTTTAATGAATACTGACTTCCACTGTTTGATGGCACATCTTTTCTGTGGATTTAGAAAGACTTTACAAAGGAGGTAAGACCTCGTCTAAATTTGAAGGTACTTCAGGATAGAGCAGTGTGCAAGCTTAAAATGCAGCACGCATCTTGAGCAATTCTACATTCAAACGTGTTTCTGAAGCAAAGTGCCTTGTTCAACTGACACCATAATAAGAACACGTTATGCTGAAATTGGAGCATGTCCAGAGTAAAAGTTTCCATCACACATGCATTCAGGAATAGGCATCCCTACGCAATTAGCCTGGCATAACTCCAAATGCAGGTATGCCTTAAGACACTGCTTACCCCTATTATATAGATGGTAACTTTTTCTTTAGAGAGCTACTTCACTAGCTATTAGCACAGGCAGATGGGGAACCAGTTGTCTCAGTAGCAGCCCAAAGCACAAATCACTTAACCTTAGGCTTCACAGTTTTCTGTGGCTTAATTCCCTATAAAACCACATATCTGGACCAATAGAAAAAAGTGGCCTTTCAGAAACTCAGCCTCATGCACCCACCACAGAAGAACACAAAACACAGAAAAGGCGGATGCATGGGCCATGTCTTACCCTCTGAGTCGCATGGTTGAGCATCTCTTGCCAGGCAGAGTCAAACTGACGTTTGTCATCTTCCAGTAGCCTCTGCTCAGCAAGCGAGATGGTCTCTTTAGCAGCACGCAGCACTTCAGTGGCCCTCTGAAAATCCTGAGTTGCCCTCTGAGCTTCCAGCTGGGCCTGAAAAACACAGAGGAGTTGGGATGAGAGATAAAGGAACGCGTTCGGTCATGTTTAGAAGACGCACCACGCTAATCCCAGGACCTTAAAACCACCACATCATTGTTATGGCTTCCCAAACTTTTACTTGGAAGTGACACATATTCCCTCATCGGAGTAAGCACTGCTTATTACCCACCCAAACGGGTAATTTGCAAAGAACTGGCCATAATCAAAACCCACAGAGCTGGTCCCCTACAAGAAAGCACCTTATGGGGTAGGTTTAACCACCGAGAAACAAACCAAAAGAAAACGCAATAGCAAGCTTGTGGCATGTCAAGAATACCTTGAGAATGGCACTCCCTGAAGGTAGTCGGGGTGGGTTTTTATCTGGTGTACCATTAATCATGCTGAGGAGGTATTTTGGCAGTGTTACCTGGCTGTACATCTCAAACAAGGTTTTTCTGAGGTGCCTGCTAACTGTGAGGACTTTGCTCTCACTGGTTCCAACTGGTGCTGCAAGTCCACAGTACACAGGCAGGAAGGTAGCCAAGGGAATCTGCACTGCACATAAACCACTGATAAAGGCCTTTGGAACCTGCTGCTTCCTTTCAGCAATATAACACAAAGCTTGAGTCTCAAGTGTCTGCATGGAAGCAGGGGTGAAAGGAGGCTTTTGGTGGTTCCTGCTGTGAGATCAGACTTGTCCAAAACAACATACGACCTTCCCAGCAAAGCAAGCACAGTTTAGAATCAATGAACTGTGATCCCTTTTATTCCAGACCAAACCAAAATTCTCCAAGACACTGCATTTACAGACACCCTCACCTCTCCTGAAGGTTTTAACACAGCTCTCACAAGACCCAAATCCCACTCGGAAGGGTCCTCAAGTAAAACGCTCACATCCCATTTTGGAGGCTGAAGCCACATCCATTTATCACAGCTGAGAGCACCTCCAGGGTCTCTTAAGGCAGCAGCAACAGCACCAAAAGGGAGAGCAGCCAATAAAGCAGAACTCAAGGCAGTCATACCGCAGGTTTCAGTAGTACCATGGTGACAAGAGTCATCACTCTTGAGTTCAGCAGCCTGCAGTGCTCACCGCAGTACCAGTGACAAGCTTGAAATGCTCAAAATAGGTGACTACAAGAAAGAGACAAGGAATATCCACAAACAAATCACTGGTATTGGATGGGTTTTGGTTGGTTGGTTGATCAGACAAAAATGCCTTCTCTTTTTATAGCTCTCACTGAATGAGTAGCAACTTGAACATTCAGGCTTTCAAACATGCAGGTTTCACATCTGTATTCATTTGCTGTCTCTTAACACTACCAGCACTTTACTACCTTGTTGAGGGTGATGCACAAATACCTTGTGTTTAACTCAAAAGTAAAGTCTTCACCCAAACATTCCCACATTATATACTTCAGAAATGCCTATTCAAAGGAGGATTTTGGAGCTATTCTGTAGTGAAACACCACCCTTCAAACGTAAGCTTCACTTAATGGAGCATCCAGCGCTGTGAAGACAGTTTCAGTGATTTTTTCTTTTTAAATGAACTGGAATTACCTAGTTTATACCTATGGGAAATGCCTTTGACCAGACACAGCTGACAAAACAGGATAATGAATAAAACTTTCATGTCATGATATGCAGAGGAGTCATCTTAGGCTGAAACAGGGTAAAGGACTCTGTCATACAGAATACTAAACTGAGGAAGATGAAGTCTTACAAATAAAGGAAGAGGTTTTAGTGTGAAGAAATGGCAGCTATTTCATAAGTGGCTAAAACCCCCGATACAAACTGGGAAATAAGCAGAAAAATGGTGCATTTCTCCATCAAACAGCTGGCTACACCTCCTCAACACCAGCTGCATCAAACACCTTCATGTTTGAGCCACCACAGTTACTTGGAAAGGTAATGGAAAAAACCCTTTCCTCCCTGCCACATCCCAAGGGAGATAAGCTCCCAAGTTAAACCCAAGTCTCAAAAGGAAATAAAGCACACTAAGTTTCCCTCGCTGGCTCCTGAAGGAGCAGAAGGCTCTTCTTCCTTCCTTCCTCCTATCACACAGAGGTACTTCACCCCACAGTGACCGTGTTAAAAATAGAAGCGATGTGTCAGGGGTCCTTCAGCTAATAGCTAGGGAGGGAAATCAAAGCCATCACAGTCAGTGCAGTAACTTCCTCCCAACCAAGTTCCTTGATGCACTTCCTTCTGAGGTGGCTGCTGATGTTTTCCACAGAAGAGAAACTCCCCTAACCATGCCCTCTGCTGCTTTCAGGCAGCTCACACCATACCCTGCCAAAAGCCTTCATGAAGAGCCATGGCATTGAAGTGTGAATTTCCATGCAGTATTGTACATCCCAAAGCAGCACGTTGCTTTGGGCCAGTATGAGTGGGTGAACAGCATCCTGAATCATTCATAATGACGAATGATGTTAATTCATCATTAACATGGTCCCTTAGAAAGTCTAAGGGAAAACCCCCATACATTGCATCTCCTCACTGCCCCAGTCACCAGCTGCCCATTCCAAATGTATTAACACATTTTATAAGGACAGAATAAGCCTGACTAAAGAATACTTTAATTTAGCACTAATGAAACCCACCAAGCACAGCAAAGCCATCTGAGGAACTTGAAACAAGGCTCAACCTAAGCTTCAGACAACGGACACAGCAGGAAGCCTAAATCTTAGTCACCAAAACAACCTCTGCTGAACCCTCTGAAAATTCACAGCTTCTTTTTTACCTCCCAGTAACTCTGACCTATGCTAGTAAAGGGGTCAAATGCAAATACAGACCCCAAGTTTTCCATTAAGATAGTTTGAGGTGGGATTCTCAAAAGGGAAGTAAAATGCAAGGCTCCAGTAAGAGCCAGCACCAAGTACTGCAGAACAGTGCTGGAGATGCTGGAAGAGCAAGGCTAATCCTCAAGAAAGACCCTATGAGGTGGAGCCAAGTCCCAGTGACTTCCAGGCTGTCAAAGCCTTACCCCAGTGAAGGCTTCAGCTCCATGATGAGCCCTGCCCATGCAAGAACCAACTTAGGGACACACGAAAGCAGCTCGGCAAAACCATCCTCAGCAAAGGCAGAACTGCACCAACAAGTAACAGCTTTCGAAACTCCAGTAAAACCAGGTCCCAGGGGCAATGTGAGCACAGAAGCAGCACAGTTTTCTCACTGTAACTGCATCAGTAGTTGCAAGTTTCTGTTGGCACAGATACTGGGTCAGGGATCAACATCTAAGCCAGCAAAAAGTCTTCAGAGCATTAGGAATCGAGTTACTACATCCTCATGGAAAACAACGTTTAGTGGTAGCTTGCAGTACTGGTAGCTCATCTGATGAAGCCTCTAAAGCATAACTGTCTGCACAGGAGACAAATGCTCTTTATGCTAAGAAAACCAGAAGCTAAATTGACAGTTCTACTTGCACCAGTAGGACACTGAGAGATGAAGTGGTTAACAGGTAGGCCCATAACTGGTCACATTCAGCTTCATGCCTCGTAGCTGTGTGAGCAAATGGAAAACTAAACCAAACCCACAGTTAAATATTCTCTCCCAGCTCTATTTGCTGAATGCTACTCTGCAATGGCAGCTTGGAAACACTCTTTTGGAACACAAAGTGCTTTTCGGTTTAAGGGAGTTAGTCCAAATACCAGTTTAGCTTCAATAGTTATCTGGGGTCAAACTACAGTCTTTTAAGCAACTTACTGAAAGCCTGGGAAAGAAAAAAGCCAAATGCTAAGGTAAAGAATGACACATTAGTCATTAGAGAAACATCAATGGGTTTGTGGCTTTGCCAATGTGAAAAGGGATACACAAACACTTTTTAGCTGGTACAGTTACTCAGTAATTAGCCTTCATTTAAAACTCCCTCCAGCACGTACAAGCAGTTCTGCACCATCACGGACAGATTGCTCTCACACTCTCCTTCTCAAGCCTGCAGATCACTCAGTTTGATGGAACAGAAAGTAGCCATGGTCTTCATGTGCTCTTAAAACCATAACAAGCAACAGGAGCTCACATCTCCATCCAACCTCCTGACACTGTATGTGAAGAACTTCATTATTTTAGACAGTGGCTGTTTCTCTCAAAAGAGCAGGATTCAAAACTCAACCGACGAGCTGAAAACTAGGTTATTTTGCTTTCAAGCACAAACTGGTGTTTGAGTTGAGAGAGGTTTGAGCCTGCAGTAGCACAAAGGAAAGCGTACTAGATGATGATGGCAAAAGTCTCTGGAGGCAAGTGGGATGTCAGCTTTCTGCCTGCCAACCGTATCGCTCGCAGATGCTTGATGCAGTCCACCTGATAGAGAAGTGAGCATCTCTTTCAAATATGTCAGAAGGAGCCAGGCCACTGAAACCCCTTATTGCAAATGGTGAAACCTTGACACCTTGAGAACTGGGGAACCTGTGCTCCTGCTCCCACTGCCACAGTGAGCAAGAGCAAATTGTGCCTCATCGCCAGTGCTTTTTGCCAGGGAACTCAACGGAATGTCTTCATGACTGCAGACCCCCTACTACTGTAAAACATAAAATGGGATGCCTTGAGAAATGCCATTAAGCAGCCACAGAGATCTCAGCTAAGGAGAATCCCACCGTCACAGCAGCCTCTAACACATGCCATCTACACAGCACACCAACTCTCTTTGCCACTGTGCTCATCCCTCCTCCACAGCCCAGCACTCTACAAACAAGTCTCCCACAACAGTAAATCACTTCCCTACAACAAACAGCATGCTCTGCTCACCCAGTCCCCTCCTCATGGCCAAGAGCTGTCTCTTTGCCACTATCCACCCTGTGTTCTCTCACCAGCTCATCTCCCTGGTTCCGATATTCACAGCCCCAGACTTCCCAGCCAGCTCCCGAAGAAGCAGAGGTGACACACAAATGGGGCACAACAGTATAAAACAGGTCAACTTTTAAAGTGAACAATGAAGTCAAACTAAAGGGGTACTGGCAGGTTATTGTTGCAAGCTATTAATGTATTACTGAAAGGAGCTCAGCCCTGACAAATACCTT